CTGACAGAAGTTTGCCATTGAATACAAAGTAATTTGGATGAGACTGGGGAATAGGATACCTCTTTGCACACATAAAAGAAAAAGAAGTCTTTAAGTAGTTAAAAGTAGAAAGGATTAGCTCATAAATATCTTGGTTAAATTGTGTGGAGGATTTGAAATAATAACCAAATCAACTGTTTCTTGAGTTCTTTAAAGCCTATACAAAGGATAGAAATGTTGTACTGTTCGTCTGTAGGAGATAGAAGGGATGACTATAATAATGTGCACATTGGGAAGTAGATGTGCCCTGATAAAAGTGTTGTATATATCTTGTCAATCAAATGAAAAAACTGTAGGCATGTTAATATTAATACTTACTATTTGTGGATCAGAACCTATAGGTAAATGATACCTGACAAAACACTGTCAGTGCACAGTAATTGTCCAGATGATTTTCTAGACTTAAAGTGGGAAAAACACAGGCAATAGAAGTCTGTGTGCATATTAGTACAGCAACACTTTTGAAAAGAATAAGATAGGAAAAAAACATGAGGAAAAAGTGAGTTTTAAGAAGGGCTTGAAGGAATAGTAGTGTGATAGAATGGGTTAAGTAAGTAAATAAGGAATTCTATCTTATTTTACATGTGGAAATGTTAAACAATGACTGTAGACACAGGGCATGCTCCAAAGGATTATTTGCATGCTAGTCTGTGTTTGGCCTGCAAATGATAATAATCTTTGGCTCTCCCCCAAAGGACTAATTAAGAAACCCATCAAAATATAATGTGGAATAAATTATTTTTTAAGATTTCCCATTACTCACCTAATAAAAGAATATTTTTTTCTGCAGAGATGTGACAATCTCTGTTGCAGACTGAGGAGCAGCATGGTAGTTTTTGGTGTTGTGGAAGACTGAATAAAGAGTGAGTCAGAACAAGGAGGGTGGGGTAGTCTTCGTCTCCCATCCTCAGATCAGTCTTCTACTGCTTATGAATCACAGGTAAACTGTATACAATAAAGTTGTAAGTTGACACTATGAATCTTGGAAGATGCTTGCACAATTAATATTCCTCATCATATATGATTTATAAATATCACATAACTTGTATTTTAAACAGGCTTAAAACATGAGGATGTAGCCTAACAGCAGTATATTAATAAAGGAACACAACAGGAATGTTACTTAAGAGTTCTTGCAGAGAAAAGGGAAAGAAAAATCCTGGTCTGCCACATTGCCGTGTGGTGTTACAGAGTCAATTAAATTTCATCTGTATGGATGAATTACCTAGGTGGGTGAGACAATCTAACAGCTCACTGTGGCTGAAATATTCCTACATTTTTCCTCCACTTCTCCCTTTCAGCTTTCTCCTTGACTCAAACTTCATCTTCCGACTGGTTTGCTTGTGCCAGCTCTGGCCCTTGTCAGACTTATAAACTGAATTAACACAACTAGCAGAAAACTAACACACACACCCCACCCCCCACCCCAAGTATACTTTTTTGCCAGAATAGAAAGTTGAATTGTCTGCACAAAGGGTCTCAAAAGTGCCATAGATGGGAGAAGGGAGATGGTGGACAATGAGCAAGAGCAACGAGAAGGAGTGCAAATCTATTTTAAAGTAAGCATAGTCTTTCATCTTGAAAACACATCTAAAGATAATGCTTGCTCTGAGTTATCTGACAAACATGATTACCTCTGCCTCAAACATAACAAAACATCTGTTCAAAGGAAAAATAGCTAATTCCTGGAGTTTCTAGCATCCAATGGGCTGCAGAATTCTCAAGAATTGGAAGGACAAATGACTGCTGAGCTGTAAGGGTCTCATCACAGGCAACTTGTGAAGAGGCAGCTCTCTTGATGAGCTTAGTTTGAGTCCTTTTGAAATCATAGATGGGCACCTGTCCATTCTGTGTTAAAGTGGCTCCCAAAGAATCCAGTGGGCATTCAGAACTTGCCGAAGGTAAGCAACAGGATCAGCCAAGAAGGAGCAGGAGAGGAAATACGAGGAGTGAAGAGGAACATTCCTTTCTGGCAGCTGTGAGGTGCTGTGCAGTGCACCCCCAGTGCACTCACAGAACCACGCTGTGTGCCTTCTAAGGTGGAAGGCATCTCATGAGCAATCCATGACACCTCCCTACAGCACATGCAGCACATGCCAGTCAAATACGAAAAAGCTAACTCTAGAATTTTGCTTCGTACATTTGGCAAAGAACAGATGTCCCATGCCACATACAAGATATTGCAAGATCACTCTGCCCTATGTGACGTGCTTTAAAATCAGAGCTCAAAACAGGAGTGAGATCTGAGTGAAGAAGCTGTGTCTAAGGATACCTAGACTGTCAAATCTCTTAACAATAGTAGAGATGGTGTACCTAGAGAAAGTTCTTCACAGGACTGCTTTAGCATGTCACCACTAAAAATGCTGTAATTGTGTATGTGCTTTTAACCCAGGCTATTTTAATTTTGAGACTAAATTACACATCATGTCTGAGTCAGTTTTTAAGAGCTTGGCCCACTGAAAGCAGAGTCTTCCTCCTCCTCTCCCCTTTGTTCCCCACATTGTCTTGCTTCCTCCTGCTGGTCAGAAAAGCACCAGTTATGACAAAGGCACGGGGAAGCACACAGAAGTGGAACAAAAGTGGTGATGGAGAGATGGGACTGTGTCTTTTCACAGTGATAAACAGTGAGATCTGCTCAAGTTGCAATGTCAAGTTGCAATTTCACACATAGTGTGAAAAAGGAATTAAATGGAAAGAGGATTAAACCAAATTGTACTATCATGCATATGTCCTGGGCTATATCATGTGCATGGTATTGTTAACAAGTGTCCAAGCCATTGGTCTGTATTCCTTGCTTTTCTATCATACTGTTTATGGGAAACAGCCCAGAAAATTCATGGCCCAGATAGAGATCTGAGGTTGTGTGGATGAGTAACTAGGGAATTTGATAGTGATTTTTGGAAGTTAAATCAACCAGATGACAGCATCTTATGCACCAAAAAAAAATGTTATAGAAAAACTTTAGCCTGGACTTGATGCTCTGAGATCGAAGACTGAAAACTGAGACCAGGACCTACGCACATCAAGTTTACTTCAAGACATATAGAGTCCAGTACTCCGCTGCACTTGGAATAAATCATTGACAATACTATGGGCCACATTGTAAGATGGAGCAAGGAGGATTTACTGGGAATATCCTCATGGGATGTTACGGCTTGTTTGGGGCCTTTTGGTGTACCTGCTTTACAAAATTAGAAATCATAATCATTAGTACTAAGTTAATTAATAATGGTCTGATGCAGGCAATTATTTCAATATTAACAAGGTATAAGACTATCATGTAACTTTTGGGGAACTGTTGGAGGTGATCATAAGCTTGGTGTGCTGAATTATACCTATGTCATATAGATTGATAACTGTCAAACTGTCTTAAAAACAAGGCTTCTATCTTCCTGATTTTGTAGGATTTACTTTTGTTACTTTTTAAAAGTAGAAAGCTGAGAACTACCTAAGTGCCGTATATATTTAAATATTCTAAGGGACACTTTCATTCCAGTATTATATTTTCACACAGTCACACATACATTGATTTAAAATTTGATCACAGTCTGGAAATTTCACTTGTGAACAGTGTTTTCTTTGTGAATTATTTAGTGCAGTACTGTATTTCCTGGCATGCATCCAAGTAAACAAAAATGTGTAAACAGAACTTTGAAATTAATTTTTCATTTATTATTATTCATCACAACATACAGAATGAATATCCTATTTATTTTCCATAACCTATGCTTTTTGCATAAAAAGCTAGGGTTATGGAGAAGTAATTAGTAAGGCATATGAGAGTCACTTAAGTAAACTCTTTGCATTTATCAGGTAATAGGGTTTTTTTCTGGTGTACATCTATTTCTTAATTTTTGGAACAGGAACTTTTTGAAAAACCTGCATATATTCTTATTCTTTTGTTTTAGTATAGCTAATTATATGTAACAATCTTAATGTCATTTCATAAGCAGAAACCTTAAATGAGGATGTGACGAATCAGATGAATGGAGCTCAGTCTTTTTGCTCAGGCAAGACATTATGGATGTGGGCATTAGCCTTTATTGGTCAAGTGATCAGGTGTCTTCATAAATATTTGTTCCCTGTTATCTGAATATACTTATGTGCTGTCACACATCCAGAATTACTACCTAGTTTGTAATCAGATGTACCTGGGGCTTCAGTGATCTAATCTGGTCTGTGTGTCCCCCCTGTGGAAAGCACCTGGGTCATATGACAGGCGGGGGACAGTTGTGGCA